CCCCCTCCGCTCCCTGGGACCACCAGCCCTCCTCCACCTCCATCTCCTCCTCCTGAACCCTGGCCCAGCTACCCCGGAACAGCTGCTGCCTGCCGTGGGGACCCACAGGCTGTAATTACTACAGAGCAACTTCCTTCCCCCCCCCCCACCCCACCGAAGATGATGAGGAGGAGAAGGAAAAGGAGGAGCAGGAGGAGGTGTGGAGGCACCAGGTGGTCAAGGTTTGAAAACCAGTGCAGGGAGGGCAGTGTAAAGGGCACGCCTTGGGGGCTGGCATTGAGGGTGGGGAGCAGGGGGTGGGCGTTGTGTGTGAAGAAGTGGCCTGACTATGTTCTAAGAATGCTGGGCCAGGCAGAGGAGGCTGCCCGAGCGGGGGTGGGTGCATCACTAACTTGCCAGGTCTAGGAAGAGTCCGGGCCCAGAGCCTCCGGGGCCCCACCCCATCCCCTGCCCAGAGACTCGAGCCAGGGGCAGCAGCTTTAATGAGGAGATGCTGCTGCGTGACTCAGCCCTCCAAAGGTACCTCCATTTATTTTATTTTTCCATCATAAAAAAATCCAAGCTGCAACTCGGCCAGATTCCTCGGCTGTGGGGGATGGGGGAAGACCAGCCCAGAGAGGACTGACTAACTGGCCCCAGTGTCCTTCTTAGAGGGGAGACTTAATGGGTTCGTCTGGTTGATCCCAAAGGGAAAAAGGGCCTGGGATGGGGTCCCCCGAGGGCTCCTTCAGACATGCCCTCACTGCCTCTGTCTCCTGTTGGAGGAGAATGGCTACGCCAGGCTTTTGATCCAGAGTAATGCTCTGATATCACATAACTAGTGCCGGGGTTGGTTCAAGGGGCCACTTCGCAACCCACAGCTGCCTCTCTCAAATGCTTTCTTACGAAGAGCAGGTCCACTTAACCCCTTCCCAGGGTGTCCCACTGAACCCTCTCAGCAAAATTAGGTTGGAAGTCAGAGAACCAGAGACCTTAAAGGTCATCTGATGCTTGTGTCCCTCCAAATGTCACAGCCAGCTTCTGCTTGAATGGTACCAGGAAACCCTCAACTTCCAAGGCGGCCCATTCTGTGTTTGGCTCGGACTGCTCCTTCCTGCCAAGATGGCATCGAAGCACCTACCCCTTGCAGCAAACTGGCAAAACCGGTGCTCAACCTGACAGTTGGTAGGGACTGGCCTCAACTTAGACTGGTCAAGTGGGTATATCTGGCCAAATAAAGGCTCAAGGAAGGAAAACTGAGGACAACCGGCTCTGCCCCAAGCCCAGCATGGAATCTCTTCCTTCAGAAACACCACAAAAACCTTCCCAGTCCCCAGTGTACATCGGGGTGAAAGTGTAACCACAGCCAGCAAGGTTCCTAGAAGCCTCCACTCCTGGCAAGGCCCTGGCCTTCAACCAGTGGCTCACAACAGTCCTGAGAGTTCAGCGGTGGGCTGACACTCAGACCCAGCAGGGGCTGGGTTCAGGAAGCTGAAGCCTTTGCTCTCTGGGGTCAGATACTGCCAGGAAGAAGTCTGCAGCCTTGCCTCTCCTTCCTTGAGACTGAATCCTCTAAGCACATGGCCACTACGCTGTTCCACTCCAAGAACTAGACTACTAAGCCAATTTGTCTCAGCCTCCCTTGACCCCATCACTCCTGGCCTCATCCACAGCTGAGCCCATGGCCAGAATACAATGCTGGGGGTCTGTATGCCATGAAAGGGGGTCTGGGCCTGGAGTCCCAGCTGAGCTGATCCCAGGGAAAAAGAAGCAGGCCTGGTTCAGTGAGTAGCACTGATCCCTCTCCTGACTCACCTTGACGATACAGCAGCAGCCACGGGGCCTAGTGTGCAGTGCTGGCCCTCATGGTTCCCGCTGGGGTCCCTGGTCATCTCTTTGAACTTGCTCTCTTGCCCATTTTGCCCTTTACCTGGCAGAGTCCACCTTGGGTCCTCTGGACAGCTCCAGCCCTGGAGAGCCCCTCCCCATCTTCTCAGGATCTCCCTAGGGAGATGGGGGGCATTTACAACTAGATCCTCAAGAATCAAGGGCACGAGTTTCTTCTCAAAGCTTAACCGCTGTTTCAAAATCATTTTCACCCTGGCCTCCAGGTTTTCTCAGGGCCTGGGAATCAGCCTAGTGGGGCCTAATCCTGGGGAGCCTCCCAAGTGCAGCCTGGATTCACCTGTGTCTGAAAGCTTCCTTCTTCCTCCCCTCCCCCTCCTGGCTCCCTCCCCCTGGGAAATCACTCTAAAAGGGCCTAATGGAACTATGTCCTCCTCTCTTCCTCTCTCTCCTCCCTCCCTCCCTTTCTTTCTCTTTCCTCTCTTTTTTTTTTTATTAGCATTTGTGGAATTTATTCCCAAACTCTCCTAATCTTCCGTACACAACCATTTGATTTGCATAACCCAACCCCCTCTCATAAAAACTGGCTGCTAGTTTAATTAAAAAATGTAAATTTGCTGTCATCTCGGGGCCTGGTGAATTAGGACGACATCGGCATTTTTTATTGCTAAAGACGTCCAGATTGATCCAGCCCTTGGCTGAACTATGGTGGAAGAAAAGGGATCCACATGGTCCCCGAGGGCCTTGAAGTCCTGCTTGAGGTACCCCCGGGGTGAAGCCATGGTTCTCCCACCACTGAGTTACTTATGGCTGGAGTGCTTCCCTAGACCTGTACGAGGCTGGAGGTGATGTTAACCCACGATCTGATGTTTACTGGGTCCCTGGTGCCAGCAACCCTTTGGGACCTGTGTCTCCAGCCTTGCACAGTGCTAGCTGCTGGTGATGGCCTCAAAGAAGAGAGCCCCTCACCACACCAGAAATGAGCCCAGGCCAGAAATGAGGCCCCTGGCCTTGGCTGTCAGCAGAAGTACATTCAAGAAGTCGATGAAAGATGAGATGGAATGAGCCCAGAGACAGGCTCAGAGGGGATCTCAGAGTTCCCACCTGCTTCCCTTTTTTTGTGAAGAGGGGAAAAAGTGCTTTTCTTCTGAAGTCCTGAGATTAAGTGAAACTTCCAAGTTCAAAGAAAAAGCTGAGATGGTATCACCAGATGACTTCTCCAGGAAACAGTCAGAACTTTGACACCCTGGACCTCCCCTCATTGAGTGGCCAGAGCCCAGGCCTGGGTCCTGCTGAGAGTACCCTGCTCCAGCTACGGGAGGGACCAGCTGACCTCAGGGGCCCTTCTAACTTCCAGGAAAAGTTCTCAGAGTCTGTCCCTAGAGTGCAGGGACAAGTAAGTGCGACAAGAGATTCTGCCACCCACAGGCCCAGCAGGCCCTCTCTCCCGTTGGGGATACTCTATGGAAGGGCATTGAAGCATGCCCCAAGAGCAGGCTGATGTAGGGGGGAGGATGGATGCCAGCTCCAGCTGCCATCGGGGTTGGAAGGAGGAAGATGAAGAAGGCCCAGCTTCCAGCTGAATAATGCTTGGGTCCCCTGTGCCCACCCACAAGCCAGGATCATCTGCCCTGTTAGGGAGTAGTGCATTACCACCACTGGTCCATCTATAAGGTCTGCTTCTCAGCTGGGATGGGTGGGGGCCCCCTGTTTCTAAAGAAAAGGGGTGGGGCCTGAGAGGGAGTTGATGAGACACTTGATTAGAGGTGGGGGCGGGCTGTTTCTCTGTGGGAGGGAAGGGCAGGGAGGGGCAGGGTGGCAGCCCTGGCCTCACACACCTTGACCACTTTGCCCAGCAGGGGGTGTCACACCCTTTCTGGGCACAGAGGTCGTGTGGACCTCCACATGGGATTCACCAAGATCACACCTGGCGGAACACAGTCTTAATACTCCCTCCCCCACAAACACATCTCCCTCCATCCCAAAGCCAGCCGCCATGTCCTGTCACTGGGTCCTCAGTGTTGCCTCCTGCCTTCTCTGCCCACTTCCTTTTGACTTCAAAAGGTCAAATGTTGTCCCAAGGGGCAATGCCATGGACTTGGGCCATTATAAACAACAACTCTGACCCATACCACCTTCCATAAATGAAACAGAAGGGTTCAGAGATCAATCTCCAGGAATTATCAACCTGTTTAGCACAGATTTAAAAACATTTAAGAAGAAGACAGTGCCTAGGGTGAGGGTCCTGGTCAAAATTCCATTTCAATACAGAGGGCTAATGGGAAGTCTTGAGGAATTTAAAGTAAACCACCATTCTAGACTCAGATGGGAAAAGAAGTATTTATACAATTAGATTAAAACCAATAAAACACCAACATCTCAGGATAAACTCTGCTCCAGGCCAGCACTAGGCTATCTGGAACCCTAAACTAGGTGCCATGCTAGGCACCCCAAAACCCAGACGTCCAAACTGAGTAGTCTGTCTGGTCTACTCTCTCCGAGGGTGGGGGCTAAGGGGGATCGGAGCGAGTCCCGGGCCCCTCACTTTGAACTGATAACAGCCGCCTCATCCCACGGGTTCTCAGGTGAAAAACACTCATTAGCCATAATAAGCAGCTTGTTCATCCGACACGGCCTTGTCCCAAATAAATTAAATTCCTTTACCTTGAGACAGTCGCCCCGAAACCAGACTAACCACCTTTCCCAACAGGACGCTGCTTTCAAAAACCAAACCAACCCCCCCCACTAAAAAAATAAAAACACACACCCCATAGCCAGACACATAGAGATCTTTCCGGGGGGGGGGGGGGAAGGTACAGAAAAACACGCAGCCATTCAAAAAAACACGGAGACAAAAAAAAAAAAAAAAACCCCACAAAAAACCCCTAAATCCTCTCTCTCGGTGCCCCCCAGCTCCCGCTCCTCTCTGTTCTTTCATAATGACAAGCATCAAATTAGTCACAGTCACTAAGCAAGTAACAAATAATAACAATAATATCATCAGAAGCCTCGCAATCCAGAAACCAGGGCGAGAAGCGCAGCCGGCATCAGACCCTCTCCAGGCCAGCCCCCACCCCCTACTCAGCTGCTACCTCATTGGGCTAAAAATAATAACTTCCGTAAAAGAACCGAAAGAAAAGTGAAAGAGCCACCCCCTGGTTCCCACCGGCCGGTACCTGTACCAAGATCCATTCTCCTCTCTTTGGTCCCAAACTCTTCGAGGATCGCCAAAAAAAGAAGAGGAAAGAAAAGAAATCTGTTTAGTCTCTCGCAGTGCCCCCCACTTCCCACCCCAGCCTCCCCCCTCGGCTCCCCGCACCCTCCCCCCATCGAGGGGCGGTCAAGTCCCCGGGACTAGGGGAGCGATGAGAACCGGGACCCGGAGGCAGAGCGAAAGTTTCTCCCTCCCGCCCCGCTGGCTCTCGCGCTCCGGCATTGCACACTCAAAGCAGCTCCTCGCCGCTCTCGACTTTATTAAACTAAAAGAGAAACTATTTATAGACACGGCCCGGGTCTGGGGGCCCGGCCGGCCCGCGAAGCCGAGGGGCGCCCCCGTCCGCGCCCGGACGGGCGGGAGCGGGGAGGCGGGCGGGGGCTCGGCGGTAGCCGGCGGCCCGCTCTCGCGCCCCTTCACCAACTCTGGCGGGACGCCGGCGGGCGCGCGCTAGCACACTCCCCTCTGCGCTCTGGCCCCGCGAGCGGACTCGATGGCGGTCGCGCGCGGACTCACTCCCCGGCGCCGGCCGGCCAAGGGCTCGTAGCGCGCGCGGCCGAGGAAACTTTTGGGCGCGGGCGAGCGCAGGTGTGAGCGCCGCGGGGTCGCGCCTACTGAGCCTTACTCACCGGCTTCCCCCTCGCGCGCCCCTCGGGTTTGGGGTGCGGGGGTACCAGGGACTTTCTTCCCTCCCCCATCCCTGTTGGTGGTGGTGTTTTTTAGTTCTGAGGAGAAAAGACTCGGGGGCGGTGGGCCTGGGTGTCCCGCGGAACACGCGCGGCGGCTCGCGCTGTTTCGCACACCGTGGCCCCCCGCAGGCTTCACGAGTGCAGGGACCCCTGAGGTTCCACCACTTCGGTTTGGCTTTGCATTTAAATGCACCCTGGCACCCCACCCCACCCCGATCCCTGGTCTACCCAGGTCCCCTCTACACCTCTGCTTTAGGGACCGTCCTGCACCTCTTGCTGCCGGAAGTTCAGCCCCCAGCCCAGCAGCCGGGGCAGCATCTCCTCTCTCACCCCGCCTCGGCTATGAGTCCTAGGAGCGCCCCCACCACGGATCCGCGCTGTCACTTGGGTTTCTAACCCGGCCTCTTGCCTCACCCCATGCAGGGCCCGGGCAGACAGGGCCCAGACAACCCTCTGCCGAGGAGCCAGCGTCCTGCCGCCTGCCCCCTCGGACATCGCCACATTTCCAGTCTGCCAGTTCATCGCTGGACCAGGCAACTTGTTCTCTTCTTGCCCTCTTTTCACCCTCAGAGAAAGCACTTTGGTGGGTCCTTCTGTCCCCAGAAGTTCCCGCTGTAGCCAGATATGTTGAGATTCCTTCAATTTTAGTCACCTAGGTTACCCACGGGGGGGGGGGGGGGGCGGGAACGCGGTGCGAGGAAGGAAGCAGGCAGGTGAGCAGGAAGCTGGCCGGTTTGCAGGTGAAAGACCTGGACTTCACTGTCCCCAGCTCTCCCTTGGGCCCTCCGGCACCCAGCCTGCTACCTTCTTCCCCTATCCTGTTTCAGGGGAAGCCACACTTCAATGAGGGGCTCAGAGCCCAGGCTTTCTGCTCTCTGTTCTTTGGGCCAAGTTCAGCAAAATGGCGCTGGATTATTTTTGCAATATTTCTATTTTGCAAAGGGAGGACCCAGGGAGACCTTGGGGCAAAGAAGTCAGGGAGTCTATCTACTGATTCTCCCACTTTCCCCTTATTTTTGTTCTTCTTTTTTTAAAAAAATTGCACTTTAGTTCCAAGTGGCCTCACAGGGAGGTTAGCGTCGCTTCCCCATGTGACTGCCCTCCTTGATGCCTTCTTGGCAACCTCCATTCCTGGTGATACAACCTTTACCCTTCAGGTCTGCCCCATCATTACTGAGGATGAATAGCTGGAGAGGCCCAAGAGTTTTGAGAGTACCCCAGCCCTAAAATCCTGAATAAGTGACCAGAGCTCCTTAAACAAACCAAGCTCAGTGTTTCCTAGATGTTGCTGGCACAGGGCAATCAAGCAGTGAGGCCACAAGGTTCTGCTCCCCACACAGGATCTCAGAGAGGGCACTGCGGCTTCCAGGACTGCTCTGGGGTACACACGTGCCTCTGGGTCCTCCCAGCCCTGACTCCCCAAAGCAAGGCTTATAGCTTTGGGTTGTAACAGCAAGCAGCCCAACCCAAATCCCAATCTGACTGTCTGCTTCCTGATATGGGCAACTGGGATGTAGAACAGAAGCCTGAAGACATAGGGGTGAAAGGGGAACTTCTGGCTGCATTTGAAATATGCACCTATGGGGAGCTTCCTGCATATATGGCCCATATGGCCTATAGTCTGCCTATGAATGTCTTTCTGGGCTTCTCAGGATGGTGGTCAGGGCCTGGAAGGGCCTGCTTGCCAGTTACCCACCACAGGGCCGATAGGATTGGCTGCACAATAACTTTGGACCTCTGGTGGACCAAGGCTGGAGAGGAATGGCTGAAGGGTAGAACTGAGAGAGCTGGAAGGAAGGGGGAGCAGGCAAGGTGGGTTAGAGGGGCTCCTGCCAAGCACAGCCAGTAATAGACGGAGGCGGGAACAGCCCAGGGAGCCTCAGCCCTGACAAGATGATGGCCCCCATCAGCTACTGCCGGCATAAGAAGCGCTGCCCAAGAGTGAGGGGCCTTCCTTCCTGAGACACACAGAAAATGAGGCCATCCTGGCATGTTATGATCTGAGACCTGAGAAGGCTGAGGCTTTGAGGTCATGGATGTGAGTCACAGGCCGTGTCACGGCGGGGTCCCCCAATCTCTCTTTCCCTTTGTGTGAAGGGGAGAGGCCCAGGACTCTGGCACCTCTGAGCCCGTGGCCCATTTTGCCTTGAGAACCCTGATGTGGTAACACCCCTGTAACCCTGAGGCCAGGCCACAGTTTCTGTGCCCAGGGCCCCGGGGATGGAAAGCCCAAAGCCACAGCTCCTCCTGGTCTCAAGGCCCTGGGCCCGGAGCCACCGGCTCCTCCTCATGCTCCCCACCCCCAAGGGAAAACGAGGAGTCCTACACAGCCATGCCACCCACTGGGCCCCTCACAGGGGTCTTGGGAAGCCTGTCAGCACTCCCCGGGGAAGGTTCCCTCAACGGCTCCCAGCGCCCTCGCATCCCCGGTTTGCCCACTCGTTTTCTCTCCCTCCCGAGCCCGGGGCCTTCTCACTCAGCAGCCTGTTTACACACCAGGTATCTCATGCTTTATCTGCTCTCATTTTGAATTCGTAACTTTCACATAAACTTGAACAAAGCTCCTTTTGTTCTTGCACCCCACCCCAGGATCCCAATAAACTGGTTCCCTCTGAGGCGACTGGGCCAGGGCACTAGAGCCTTGGCCAGACGACTGTGTGCGCCTGTGAGCCAGCATGTTCACACCTGCGAGGGAGCCCCTGTGCCCGCGTGTGTGTGCCCTCCCCGGGCAGATGGCAGAAGAGTGTCAGAAAGAGCCCTAAGTCAGCAAAGTGTGGACAGGAAGGATGGTGGGGACAGAACGAAGAGCCTGGTCACCATGGCGCACGCAGGGCACGGGGATAGCCTGAGACTGGGTGAGAGCGGTCCTGGGCCCTGGATGGTTTCGGTGTCGGGGCCGAGGGAAGACGGGATAAAGAGGAAACAAAGGGCAGGGAGGCCCAGCAGAGCCAGGGGATGAGGCTGGGCTCAAGCTAAATGTAAGGCAGATACAAGGAACGCATTATGGCGGTTTAGGGGCTGGCAGAGCCGCCGCACGCTCGGCCCCGTAATCCTGTTAGCCAGCAATCTCCATTCCGAAAGAGCTTCATTTCTTTGTGAATATTTGTAAACTAGATATCTAATGGAAAATTATAGGAAAATTATAGTGAAATTCATGACGGAGAAATCCGATTATCCCTAATTCAATTATGCCATCTTAGCCCACACAGCACATTTCCCATTTTTTTCCCATAAATACCGATGCCAGGGGTCCCGGTAATCAAATAAAATTGAAAATCATCTTCCCATTAAATTCAATTAGCCGCAATTTCTAAAGCCTATCAGAGATTTTAATTACTAAATTATAAAATTCTCCAATGCTAAATTGAAACCAAAAAAATTGCACATCCTTATATTTCAGAGAAAAAAAAAGGGGGCCAGCAAAATCCCTGGAAGATGCCCTCCTCTCTGTGCCCAGCTCCAGAGCAGGTTCCCTACCTGGAGGGACTGCACGCACTGATGCCTGCTTGCCGGGCTGAGGACGAAGCTGGGAGGCAGGGGAGAGGGCCTGTTAGGGAAGGGGCTGAGGCATATTAATTTAGCAGAGGGGCAACACACACCTCCACCCCCAAGCATCAGGGCTGGGCCGGGCCCTGGAGAGGACCCGCCTCCTCACTGGCTGTCCTGGTTCCTCAGATGCCCTCAACTTTGTCACCCACTGAGAATGAGGTCTATAAGTGCCACCTTCTTGGCCCACGGACATGGCTTGGGCCCAGGTCACAGCTTGGCCTCAGGGCTCTGCACAGTTCTGGGGCAGCAGACCAGAGGCAGCCAGCTTCTGACCCAGGTGCCGGCTCTCCAGGCACCCGGCCGGGTCCCCAGGTGGCCTGGACTGGGTCAGAGGTGAGAGGAGGACGGGGCCTGATGCCCAGGGTGGCCAGACATTATGGGATGGTCCTGTGGCCCCCAGCCTTCTCCAGAGCATTCCCAGGAGCCATGGGCCCTGGCAGTGTACCAGCCTTCTGGGAGAAGAGCCGGGGATGGACGTGGCCCAAATCTGGCCTCTCCCTGCACTTCCAGCTGATTCCTTGTTCTTTCCCTCTTCTGGGAAGCCAACCGGCTTAACTGGCCAGCAGGACTACCCTTGCCCCATGGGAGAGCTCACTCTTTCACCCCCATTTCCTTTTAGGGAAGTGCTGGCCATAACCCCAATAGTAGGCCCTCCTCTCTCACCCCCCGCCACCCCAGGCCACTTACCCCACTCTCTGAGGCTGCTCCTGGAGTCAGAAGAGCCTGGAGAGGTGGCACCGGTGGTAGCATAAAGTGACCCTAG